GTGACATTCATCTAGCTGGGTGAATATATATCATCTGTGTACTTAATAGTTTTTTAATTTTTATCTCACCTATTACTTTATAAGTAACTCAAGGTAATGAACATACATAATACTCCTTCCTTCTATTTGTCCCACAACCATCTCATGAGGCGAGTTAGGTTGAGACAGTGACTGGCCCAAGGTCATCCAGTTGGCTTTCATGTCTAAGGTGAACTCAGCCTCCTATCTTCTAGGCCAGCACCTTAACCACTACACCAATCTGCTCTCTTAAAAAAAAGAAAAAAACTATGGCACATGCTCTGATGCTCAGACAGCCCCAGATGGAGGTGCAGATGCTGAGAAACTGTTGTGAAAGCTGATTCTAAAACTGGGAATTTGGTAAGGTGCAAAGCACACATTATCAAAAAACTGACTTCAAAGTTCATTTCTAGAGGGACAGAATTCTTCACAGGCAGACTGGCTCTGTCTTGTTACAGCTTCAACTATTATTTTTTAGACACTGAATATATTATCTCAATAAAAATTCTACATAATATTCAATACCCCTTTAAACTAAATTTTAATACTGGCTTTCAAGTGATTAATAAGCTAAAGTGCTATTATATTTCTTCAACAAAAGGAAATCAAAACTCAGAACTTATAAACACACACACACATACACACTATTTTGTCTCCAAAATACAATTTAATCCACTCCTGTTGATGGCCCCAGGAAATTTGTCTTGTCTTCTTCAGCATCTTTCCCCTGAAGCCAGCCTTTTGTACTTTTCCCTTGAAGATAAGCGTCAAGAAAGTAACAGATTCCAGGTATATCACCTGGAAAGTTGGAAGGAAGTTCTTGTCTTGAGCGAGGAGTAAACATGAAGCCAGGGTGATCCTTTATCAACCTCCAATGAGAATGAAAAGTATTATTACATATTTCAGACATACCCATAGACTCACCAGCATAGTTAGGAGAATAGGAGGGCTATCATCAGTACATACAAGGTAATAGGGTAAGAATTCAAAAGAATTCCAGGAGAGAGAAGGAAGGTTTCATATTATTATTACAGTGGTTAAGAAATAAGCAGCAAAAGCAAGTACTTGACATGGCAAGCTACTGTACCTGTAGGTAGTGGGGCTAACATTTATTTTCCTAGGAAGACTGCAAGACTCAAACTTGTTGGCAAGTGTTACGTTGTTTCCAAATAGGCAGTAACGTGGCATTTTCACACCAACAACACCAGCAAAAACAGAGCCAGAATGTAGTCCTATACGCATCTTTTGCAAGAGAGAAAGAAGAGATATTAAAAATCACATTTATCAAAAATGAAAATATTATTGAATTCTACCTATTTCTATATGTCAGAATAAATTGTGAGCTCAGCTTGGAAGCTGTATTCAGTGGATTCTAATGAATATGAAATACTGAGATAATTCAAATCTATAGTATATATACAAAGATTCAACCATAGCCTATAATGAAACATCAAAATCCCTAGTCTGAAACATGTATGTTATCACAATTGCATGTGATAATATAATAATATACTAAGCATTACATACAAAATAGTCTAAGCATCAGATCTCAAAATCAATTTTTAAAAAAAAGGTTTTCCTGTTTTCATGGCCATCTTCTATTCAAAAGTGCCCAATTTTACAAACTTGGGAAATTTAAAAGCAGGGAAACCAATTATCTGATGCCATTAATCTGTCTTGCTACTGAACTGTGAAAACCTCAAGTTAATATAAAATACAATTCACAACAAATAGATTGATGCATTATTAATATGAACCACTGCTCATATATTAAATTTAATTAATATTACATGAGGCAGTAATAACAAAAGAAAGTTCCTTAAAGTAGATGATCCATTGCAATAACATCAGCCATCTCTCCCATTGACAAGTGTGGCTAAATGTCATAACATTAACACACATGAGCAGGAAAAGAAGATGTTAAGGTTTGAGGTTTGGATTTGTTATACATAAACTAGGGTGCTAATTTTATTTGTATTAATGGCATTATTTTACTATCAAACTAAAAGCTTGTTAAGAAATATGTTCAGGAAACCCAACTATGAGTCTTCAACTGCAAGTACCATGTTTCCCTGAAAATAAGACAGGGTCTTATTTTCTTTTGACCCTTGAAATAAGGGCTTGGCCTTATTTTCAGGGAGGTCTTATTATTTTTCAGATGCAGGAAGCAGCAAGCCCACCGGGCCCATCCTCTCCATCCCACCACCTGCTTGCCTGCGGCCGCAATGACCCAAGTTTTCCTTGTCTTCACCAGCCCTGCTTGCTGGCTGCGGAACAGCTGACTGTGCTGCTCTGGCCTTGGGAAGGGGGCTCTTCTTGGCAGAACATGCGTGCACGCACACACACACACACACACAGGTCTCTCACACACCCCCTCCCTCTCCAAGGCAGCCACATCCCTTCACTAACCTGCTTTCCAGCTCTATTTTCCACTGCCACGTGCAGGACAAGAAAAGTAGTCTGTGTAACTATGGTAAAAAAATATATCAGAAAATACCTTCCAACTTCTCGCAAAAAAAAAAAAAAAATATCTCAAAAGTTGGAAGTAGTCCCACAAACTACTTTTCTTGCCCTGCACGTGGCAGTGGAAAATACAGCAGGAAAGCAGGTTAGTAGAGGGATGTGGCTGCCTTGGGGGGGTGGGGTGTTAGGGATCTCACACACACACACACATAGACAAACACACACACACACGCACACCATCCTTTCCTTGGGAGCTTTGCACAGACACAGAGGCGGCTTCGGATAGAGCATTTGGGTGATGTGCGTCTGCGGGAAGAACAATTGCCAGGAAAGGGGGGGGGATTTTGCCTCTTATTCTGTCCTGAGTCTATGCTGAGCTTCAAGAACAGGGTAAGAGGAAGGAAAATCCCCCCCCCCATCATTTTCAAGCCGTTTGCAAAAATGCCCCATTCCGAGCCTTCAATGCTGCAATCGTGGAATATGCTGAAGGCTTAGAATGGGGCGTTTTTACAATTTCCTGCACATCAGCAGCAGCATCTCCTCGCAGGGCTTCTTCCTATGTCCCAGGTGAATTGATTTCCATGCTTTCCTTTCCTATTCCGTGGACAGAATTGCCTGCTGTGACTGTCACCGTCAGGTAAGGAAGGCATGAGGCATGTGGGTTGTGTTGCTTGGCCTCCATCTTCTTTTTGCAGCCGCAATTGGCTGC